AATCCCGACCCCTATTGGCAGGACCCCCCTCCCCTTGGGTGCAGCAGGCCGATTCCAACCGCGACCGCGGTGGTCATGACGCCGTCAACCGCGGGCCTCGGTCATGACCGCCATGACCGCAGCTGCTGTGGTCACATACCCTTTCACCGCTTGAAATTATAGACGCGCCAGGTCATGCGGTGGCCAAGCGGGGTCGATATATAGAATCAGTGGTCCATTTTTTCATTTCAGGCCTCCGACGCTGCCCAGGTACTGGCAGTTCAATAGACTACACTACCCAGCCATGCCACATTACCACACTGACCGTGACCCACAGAGAAGATTTCCAGTTCCAGATCAGGTGTAACATTCTTATGGGGAAAGCATTTGGCAGTCGACTTACTTATACTAAATTTAAAGTCTAAAACAAATACCATGGAATCACATCACATGATCACAACACTAAAATCCTTCTGAATTTAAGAGCCTGCAGTGGGTCAGGTTGCACTTGGCACTACCAGTCAACTACTGGCTGAACATAGAACACTACCTATTAGGCAGAAGTCCGTTTCAGGAATTATAAATTACACTCCAGTTGCATGGACGTATAAGTAAAAGATGAGTCTTGGAAGGTTATCACTGCTTCTCACTATGTCCAAGAATCAGACCAATCCGGGAAAACACAGCCAAGATTTGGGACCAAGTTACAGAAACAAACTTTCCAGCTGATCCCACAGTGCACCCCGGAATAGAACCCTTGGTCATTATCACTGTATATAGACTGGAAGTTCCGCCAAATTGCATCCATTACCATCTTCACCCAAATTGAATGGTCAGCCGTTTTCTTCTCTCGTTGTTGTAGTTTAAGTGCCGTTTCTTTGCTCATTATTGTAGCAAAATGTGGCTGTAGCAAAAATAAAAAAGGAGACGACAAGCCTGCATCTTTTTTTTTTTTTTTAAATAAAAAAGGGCAGCCGTTATAGCTGTATTTAGGCAACCGTCTGTCCAGATGCAGTGAGAATGATCCAACGTCCTATTCAGTTGAAGATGATAGGATTGAAAACCCCGAGGGTGTGGTTGGCACTAGCAACTATTTCCAAATTTAAATATTACTCAGAAACAAACATCACTCTAAATCATGATCCCATCATCTGCAAGAATTGTCTTAGGGGGTGGGCCACACACACACACACACACACACACACACACACA